AAGTGCAGTGATAAAGCTAATGGTTAAGCTTAGTGCTTAAAACCACGTTCATCATTTCCATCACCAAAGCAGAAACCTGTCCACTCACCAGCTTTCAGAAGGATGGAGGCTTCCCCATGGACTTGCTCATCTCTGAAGGAGCAGCCATACGCCTCTTCATCAAAGGATACCTGATGTATCCTCACAGCAGTGTGCCCTGAGGTGATGCTGTCTGCACCAGGGTCACCCTCCCTTGGCACCCGGGCATCTGCTCTCTCTTCAGGGCTCGCCCAAACCTGGTGCAGCTCCATGGGCTCAGCACACACACACTGGGTGAGAGGTGCCAGGGAAGCACCGAGTCTTTACCCACTAAGGCCAAGACAGGCTCCAAGGGTCCACAGACTTCAAAGTGACCTGCAGAGACAAAGCAGGATCAGACAGAATAGGAAGAGCAGATTGACAAGCAGGCAGGGCCAGAAGGCCAAACGCCAAAGTTTCTCCTGCATCCTCATGCATCCTGCTGGACCCGGACCGGATGGCTACACAGCAACTGTTTACACTTGTAGGAAAGTTCAACACGGCAGGTCAAGGGGCACTGAATGTGTGTGGGGGGAGAACTTACCTGACTTAACATACACAGCTGCCAGACCATCAGGGTGGACACCCCAGATGGGGGGCTTTGGAGAACTGCCACCCACATCTTTCTGAGCAGCAGGCTGCTGATGGGAATCTGCCGGGAGCTTCAGCCTACACGACAACTAGTCAGGAGGTACCTGTGGGCTCTGCAGACCCCCTGTTCTCCACAGTCCTCCAACAGTTCCTTCCAACCTGGAGTGTTCTGGCCATGTGCATCTGAAGTCAGATGTGCGTCCTCTACAGAGGGATTTTCAGCTCACGTCCCTGTCAAGTCCGTGTAGAACAATAGGAACGACAGGAGAGAGTGAGCTGTGCATTAGTGAGGCGCACTAAAAACATTCCTTCAACTATAATTTGCCATTTCCTTTTAGCAATGAGTCAATCAAGAGACTCTGCCTAAGGGTTGGAGAAATGGCTCCAAGAGCACTTGCTGCTCCTAGAGAGGACCCAGGCTCAGTTCCCAGCACCCGGTTGGGCGGCTCCAACTGCCTATGACTCCATTTCTAGGGCTCTGACACCCTTTTCTGGCCTCAGCTGGTGCTATACACAAAGTGGTAGACACACATACATGCATGCACATACATATATGAGGGGGGTGGGTGTTGAGAGATCAGGAAAATACAGATAGTAAACTTCTACAACAGAAGGCTGGAAAGATGGCTCAGGGGGTAAAGGAATTTGCTGCCAAGCCTGACCACCTGAGTTCGATTCCCGGGGCCCACATGGGGAAGGGCGAGCCGACTCCGGAAAGCTGTCCTTCACAACGCACATGCACAGACACACAGTAAAAATGCAACAAAAATTTAAAAACGCTTTACAACAGATGTCGACCTGGTTAAGACATCTCTTTGTAACCTTCTGGGATATATTCACAGAGATGACTGGGAGGCCTTTTAGGTCTTCTTGCTTCTTTCCGGTGGTGACTAGATCCTAAGAACGTGCAGCCAATGGGTCCCTGCGGCCAGGCGGTCTTCCCCGACTTCCTGGGCTCTGCAGGTCCGACCTCGCACATCCCCGCGGCCCTGGGCATGAGGCACACCTTCCACACGCGGGTCTCTCACTTGCCCACTCACCCCCTACCACCACACGCAGCGCAGGCACAGAGGGCACCAGACCATCAACAGTGTCCCACGGCTAAGGTTACACTAATTAAGCTTGGCACCGTGGTACCCACAGCATTGCAACCACGGGTGCTGGAGCAAGCATGGCCCTAGCAGCAGGAGTGTGATTAGCCAGGCCCTGCAACTCTGCTTTGCATGACTGCCTCTGATTGGCTGCAGCTCGGCTGCTGTAATTGGTTGAAACTCAGCAGGTTTTAAGGTCCAATTGTCTTTTAAATTAGGTTGCAGTTAGGAAGCCTGTCCAAGTCTTTCTCAGGTCAAACTTAAAGTTGATGGGGAGCCGGGTATGGTGGCGCACACCAGAGGCAGGTGGATCTCTGTGAGTTCAAGGCCAGCTTGGTCTACATAGTGCCCCCAAATCAAGCAATCCCTTAAAAAAAAAAAAAAAAAAAAAAAAAAAAAAAGTTGATGTCGGAAAAGGGAAACCGCATCCCCCATTTCTAGTACACTCGAAGACCAACGGACTCCGAGCACAACTTAAACTCTTGGTCCTCCTGCCTTGGCGCGCCATGCAGCACCAAAGCGCATTTCTTAAAAAAAATTAATTTATGAGTGTTTTGTCTGCGTGTGTGAAAGTGCATCAAGTGTGTGCAATGCCCACGGAGGCCAGAAGAGGGGCGTGGCATCCCCTGGAACTGGAATTAGAGTTAGGGGGCGACTGGATCTGGGTCCTCTGGAAGAGCAGCCAGGGCTCTTTACCACGGAGCCATCCCTCCAGCTCCCAGAGTTCGCATTTCTTATCAATTGCCGGCAGCAAGTGCTGGGGGGTGTTAAACGGAAACGGTAGAAAGCCTCAGCTCTACGCCCATTAGTGTCCCTGCCTGTGTTTACCCATTTGAATTACTGATAGGTGATCAGAAATGAAATTTTTATTCCTGTGCCATAAGAGAACTATCCATTGAACTATATAGGAAAAGATTTTAACCCACAAGGACTGGAAGAAAAGGATACTGTGGCAGTTTGCTACTGAGATGGGATTCCCAGAAAAGACGGCCCCGGTGTTCTATAGACTGACTAAAATTTAATACGTATGGAAACTCAGAATGCTGCAGATTCAAAATTATCTTGGACGAAGTTTCCTTCAGTCCTCATAACATCCAGTTATCACTCCCTCCTATTTAATCTAACACTGATTTGACTATCAGGCGAAACTTTTGGCATGTATTGATTATTAGCAGACCATTAGCTCCCATAAATCCTAAAGCTAAGACTATCATTACCTCATTGCTCCAACCCACCTTTCTGACACCCTCACTATTGTACTTAATAAATGCTCAGATTTAAGCCTGTCTTTTGTTCTTTGACCATGAAAGTTCACATAGCACTTCCACAGTGGAGCGTGCCATTGGATGTTTAGACCTACCCAGTGCCCTGGGAGAGGTGGGTCTTCATCCTGCCTCCCTAAGAAGGATTAAATTTAAAGATATTGTAAAGTGGTTAATTCTGTGGTGGAGAGTGGCTAGGGGGGGCCTCCATGGCTCAGCAAGGGCCTGGCAGGTGGGATGTGGAGAGGCAGTGATCACTAGCTGTGTAGTCCTGGCTGGTAGCCCACCACCCTAGCTCTAATGCCATGTCTGGGAAGGAAGATAACCCTGAGCACTGTGGCATCCAGCACATCTAAATGCCTGCCGAATACTAGACTTTTAGGGGCTGATACACCTTGCAGGAAATATCGGTAAACAATTTACATGTGCAGAGTGCCACCAGGTGACCAGGGCCACAGGGAAGTGTGTGTGGAAATAAGGAAAGCCTGGAGCCTGGTGCTGAAGAGATATAATAGCTGGAAAGAGCCAGAAAAGGGAAACTGCAGACCCTGGTCATGGCAAGAACTGGATAGTTATCAAGCCAAGAATCTCAGAGCCCAGGCCCAGGAGCTGCCAACACCATCTGGGGATAAGGGCTGAAGAGACTTTCTAGGCCCACACAAGAGCACTTACACTGCTGCTGCAAAGGGCAAAGGAATCCTGTACCTAAACTAATCCCAGTCCCAGAGCTAAGCAAGTCCCGTGGGCCCACAACAGGCTGAGGATCCCAAGATTGACTCCTATGACCCTAGAGGGTGCCAGCTGCCACTGTTCCCACCTTCTGGCAAATGCCAAGATGTGAGAGCTGCTCAGCCCAGAAAGAGCAGCTTCTGGTCTACGCAGGATTTCTATGCAGAGAGAACACACAAGTCCACTGACTGGTAACAAACATCATCCCTGATCCGATCACCGCAGGAACTCTGAGCTGGTTTTCAGTCCTCGTCTGCCATCTTCCCCCTGTAGCTCAGCCTGGCATCTGAAAGAAATGCTTTTATTTTTCAAACAGGTTGCCCTTGAACTTGTGTCGTACCAGGAGCTGGCCCCAGCCTCTCACCATCACATGCAGCTAATTTCTCCCAAGGTCTGCACTATGAACTTCAAGGCCACACATCACAGGTACCCCAAACCCTCACACAGTCCCCTCTCATTTCCCAACCATTTCCTGTCTCTTGGTGCTCCAGCCTCCTGTGCTGGCTCCTGCGATCTGGCACCCTCATTCACTGCCTGTGGAATATTTTGCCTCCAGGCAAAACACTCATGAACATAAAATAAAATAAAAAAACAAATCTTAAGAATACAGCAGGGGCTGGAGAAATGCTCAGCGGTTAGAGCACTGGCTGCTCTTCCAGAGGACCCAGGTTTGAGACCCAACACCCACATGGCTGCTAACATCTGACATCTGACGGCACTGCAGGACATGGGGGCACTTACATACATGCGGGCAATACATTGATACACATAAAAAATAAATAAATAAAATATTAAAAAAGAATACAGCCATCTTTTATTAAACTAGCCATTATATTTTCAAAAACAGATAATTCTTTTTTTTTTTTTTGGTCTTTTTGAGACAGGGTCTCCCTGTAGCCCCAGCTAACCTAAAACTCACTATGTAGATCAGGCTGGCCTTGAACTCACAGAGAGATCCTTCTGTCTCTGCCTCCCAAGTGCTTGGATTATAGACATGCACCACCATGCCCAGACTGATAATTCTACTTTTAAAATCTACTTTGTAGGCTGGGCATGGTGGTGCACACCTTTAATCCCAGCACTTGGGAGGCAGAGGCAGGCGGATCTCTGTGAGTTCAAGGCCAGCTTGGTCTACATAGTGAGTTCCAGGGCAGCTGGGGCTACAGGGAGACCCTGTCTCAAAAAGACTAAAAAAAAAGAAAAAAAACTACTTTGCTTTAGAAATAATTTTTCATAAAGCATACTATTCATATTAAACTATGGTTGGTTTATTATTGTTTTAATATAAATGAATATATATAGCTTAATTTTTTAGTTTCAATCTGAAATGTCATACATAACAACAGACATTAGTTAGGCTTGGTGGTAAAAATCCTATAATCTCATCAAGAGACAGGGGTGAAAAGATCAAGAATTCTGTACCAGTCTGTGCTACATAGTGAGACCACATCTCAAAAACAAAACAAATCTCAATAAATATTAACCCAAGAGAACAAAAGCTCAATAGTTTGTAGGTATCCAAAGTATCCCTAGACTAAGAAGCATTCAGTAAACCTCCACCCCAAGACCTGACCCAAAACACACCTGCCCAGCAGGGACCTCTAGTCTCCAGCTTTTCTCAATGACTGAGCACTGACTCAGGACTCAAAGTCTATGTTTTCCACAGGGATACCTGAGCCAGCCCACATCCAGATCACCATTGCGTGCAGGCCTGCAGATACTCATTCTATAATTTTTTTTTTTACTTTTTTGAGATGGCCTCCCTGTAGCCCCAGCTGGCCTGGAACTCGCTGAGACCAGGCTGGTCTCAATCTTACAGAGATCCCCATCTCTGCCTCTGAGATTAAAGAAGGCATGTGCCATTATACCCAGCCTAACTCTATAAAATCTTTACTATGTGATCTGGAAATCTTGGCCATTGGATTAAAATGGACCATCAGCTTCCACAACCCCTCGGCTGTCGGCCTCAGCCGCCATCCCTTCCGGCTTTCTGGTTCATTTCCTCCATCTCTGACCTCCGCTGCTAGGCCTCCCTCTCCTCACATCCTGACGCATTCCATTTCCCTCACCCTCAGTCCACAGTGGCTGGAGTATAGGAGCTCAATCTTGCTTCAGATTGAAGCTGCAAGGTTTCTGACCCTCTCACACTTCCCCTCTCACACTTTCTCCTTGGCAAGAGTTGTGTGATAGCATCAATTCCCTAAGACTGGGTCAGGCCCGCAGCGACAAGCAAAGAAGCAACTGAGGGTGTGAACTGGGCCTCAAGTGGGTGTTTGCTGTCAAGTGACCTGAAGGACATAGGACTGTACTCCACCAAGGGGTGCTATGCAATGATAGCTGATCACCATGGACTCCCTACACGGCTACATGGCACCCACCGTGTGGGTGGTGGCAGGCTTTGCCCTATAGAGGATCAGGCCACCGTCAGGCACTGTGACTCCCTGTGCCCCCGTGAAAGCTGGGCAGATGAAGAGGGGACCGTCATCAGAACCTAGCCTGAAGAACGGTCTCAGGGGCCCAGCGAAGCCTGCACGGGGACATGTGTAGATGTGTGACCTGTCTCTCATGTTGTAGAAGGAAATATCCCCAGCTTCACAGTCCAGGAAGATGGCCAAGCGGCAAAGGCGCGTTTTCAGAGGGATGATCTTCTCCGGGGAGGACAAGGCCCGGTACTGGCCTCCAAACATCTCCAGGGTCCAGAAGCCATTTGGAGGAACCAGTGGGGCCTCCCCCTTCCTCTCAACGCTCTCTCTACAGACACCAATGGCCCACACCATGACGTTTTCCACCTCCACCTCCCAGTAGTGCTTCCCCGAGGAGAAGCTCTCCTGGCCCAGGACACAAGGCCGGCAGTCAAACCGCTCAGGGTTGTCCGGCACCCTCTGCCGTGAAGGGCCACGTCTTACACTTCTCCGGTCCTCTGACAGGAAGAGCTCAGGATGAGCTGTGTCTGGGTCCAGGGTCACATCGGCTGTGGAAGAAGTCTCAGCTCAGCGCTGGGATCTCAGACCTGAGTATGTACTGACTGACCTCCAGCCCCCACTGTGGTCCCGAGAGCTGATGTGGGATTCACCCACCCGGCAGCCTTTTCCACGAAGGCTCTCTGATCTTAAGCAACTCACACACTGAGAATTGCTGAGGCTCACTTGTCTTTCAGGAACAAAAGAGGAAAACTAGGACTAAGAGAGACCCAGAAAGTTTAGGAAATGAGCCCAAATGAATGGCCGCACTTAGAGCATTCTGGATCTGCCTCCTTTTCTACTCACAAAGACAGGAGTTCTGGGATTCTCTTCAGACAGAAACTATCCAGCTTGGCCTTAAACACCAGACACCCATCACCTCTCACTCCCCCAACCATGAATGTTAAGGAATTCAGCCAGATGAACTGATTTCAATGACAGACAAGCCCCCCTCAAAGGATAAAGAACAAATGTCCCCCAGAGTCAACCTGGTAGCCATCTGAGGGCTGTGTGCTGCTGCTATAGGGAGAGTGTTCTCACCCAGGCTTGCTTTAACAATGTGGGTCTGAAGCCTATGGCAGTGCCCACTGTGGGGACAGCTGCGTTTGTTCCCCCGTCCCCTACCCTCCTTCCCATGTTACAATGTTTTCCTTCTTTCCTCAAGTTGGATGTTTGATTGTGACACCCTGTGACTGTGTCTCAAGTTGATCGTGACAATCTTCTACTTCCCCCTAAAGAGGAAAGGCCCCGTGCCAAGGAATCTGGTGATGCCTGTACTCTTTGGTGTTTGGGGCAGCGGTTGAAAATGAAAACTGCAAACTGTGCCCTAGGGGGAGGCAACAGGGCTCTACACCCTCCTGCTCGCCTGACTGGCTCCTCGAAGACTGTATGTATCAGGGTTCTCTTGGGAGCAGGTGGGCATTTCTGGGCACCAGGTGGGCTCGGGAAGTGTAGTGCTTTTTCTTCACAAGGGGATCCAACTGTTTGCTCTAATCATCTCCCAGATTATAACCCCTAAGACAGCACTGTCTTCTTTCAAATGAATCCAGGGCCCAAGAGCAATAGCCACTCTTGGGAGAGCTGCTTTGTATGGAATCCTGGGAATCCTGGATCAAACCCTTCTGAAATAAGGAATCACATTGCAAATAAAGTGCAGGATTGATGGAAAGCTGCTGAGGTTCCAGAAAAGCAGGATCCAGCATCAGTGGGTATGACCAGGGAACTTCATTCAGCCCTGTTCCCTCTCCAGGCCCCTTGTTTGTGTCCTCAGGTTAGTGGGAAGAGATCTGGGGGTCTGAGGGAATGTCAGAGGCACTCACCGGCATGTAAGAGGGTTCGTCTCCACTCTGCAAGTAAGAGAGGTGAGTGTCATGAGGTCATACCCAATCAAGCTGAACACAAACTGACAGCAGGTCAGGCAAGGTCACACTTACTCAATTCTTCCAGAAGTTGCTCTGAAAAACAAACAAAATAAGGTTCTCAGTAGGCAGCTGAGGGAATTTGGAGTCCTACTGAATGATGCAGGGCTGGCTCCACCACAACACTAAATCTTCTTTCCCATCTGGGATGTTTAATGTTGATTATCAACTTCACAAAACTTAGAATGACCATGGGATCAAGCCTCAGGGTATGTCTGGGAGGAATTTTCTAGATTAGGTTAATGAGGCAGGAAGACCCACAGGAAATGTGCATAGCACAGGTTGGTCCCAGACTGAATAAAAATCAGAAAGGGGCTGAGGGTCATCATGTTGTACCCCATCCACTGGACCCCAAAAAGACCACCAAGGACCCAACACACCAAAATGCAAAACAAAGGTTTATGGTTTATTCGGGCTTAAACTCAGGCTCTCAGACCTCACCAACTCAACAGATCCGTGCTGAGAGCCCAGAGTAAGGGAGAGTGGAGCCTTTTATAGGTTTTAGACAAAGGGGAGAGGGGGATACCGAAGATACATTTTGGTTGGTTCAAGGAGCCCGCACGCGCCAACATAATTTTAAACCGATTGGATGTATAAGATGCAGCCCTGGAAGTTTCTTATTGGTAGGTGCTATTCTCAGGGCTGTGGAATGTGCTGACTGTTACCTGTGGGGCCAGGAGTCTCTGTTTTTACCTTATAGGGCAGTTTTTATGCTCGGGCTTGCTTAATCTATAGTTTCCTGGAAGGGGGGTGGGGGATAGCAGGTGGGGGTCAGGGCATGCCAGGGTATGTCTAGGCATGTCTAAAGCTGCAGCCAAGCATTTCACAGAAGCTAAAAGAACAATTAGTGGGGGTCTGGAGGGATTGGGGGGTAGCAGGTGAATGAAGAGGGTCTCAGGGTTCTATAATCGTTCATCTCACTCTGCCTCCTGCTCAGGCCACAGTGCCTTCTCCACCATAACGGACTGGGTTGCCTTGTACTGTAAGCCAGATAACCCCTTCCTCCCTTAGGTTGTGTCTTGTTAGGTAATTTAAAAACTTGGGGGAGGGGCCTGAGAGATGGCTCAGTAGTTAAGAGCACTGACTGCTCAGTTCCCACCACCCACATAATGGCTAACAATTGTCCATTAACTCCAGTTCCAGGGAATGTGATGCACTCATCTGGCATCTGTGGGCACTGCATGCATGTGGTGCACTTCCATGCATTTATACACATAGAAATAATGTTTTTTCTTTTACTTATTTGTTTGTGTGTGTGTGTGTGTGTGTGTGCACATGTATGCCATGATGTGTATATGGAGACCATAGAACAACTTATAAGAGCTGTGTGTTCTCTCCTTTAACTGTGTGGGCTCTGGGTATCAAACTCAGATCATCAGCCTTGGCAGCAAATGCCTTTACCTACTGAACCATCTTGTCAGCCCCTTGTTAGGCAATTTTATCACAGCAATGAGAAAGGTAAATAACACACAGTGTCAGAAACCACAAGTGACATATCATCAAATGACTGGCCAGTATCAGGACATTTTAGAGGTTTTCTTTTGTTCTTGCTTGGACCCAGGTAAACACATGCAGTATTTACACATTGGACCAAATATTTGAAGACATAATTACTAGGATAGGACAGTTCCAGGTCCCTCTGCTGCGTCTATGTATTTTCTGGCTAGTCTCAAGCTTCTACCTGTCAGAATACTGACCTTTCTTTTCTTTTCCTCTTTCACTTTTTGTTTTCTTGAGACAGGGTCTTATGTAGCCCAGGCTGGCCTTGAATTCACTATGCAGCTAAGGCTGGCCTTGAACTCCTTAAGAATGGTGGCGCATGCCTTTAATCCCAGCACTCCAGAGGCAGATAAATCTTTTTGAGTTCAAGGTCAGCCTGGTCTACATAGTGAATTCAAGGCCAGCTGGGGCCTGTCTCAAAAAGACTGAAAAAGAAAGAGATGGTGACTCCCTACTCTGTTCTTTTACCTTGTAAAATTCCTTCTCTTTTCCATATGTTCTTTCCCAGTTCCTTACGTGCAGTTTCTTTTTCTTCATATTCAATTTCTTTTTCCACTGACAGAATCTCCTTTTCCCTGTGGTGTTTCTTGATGAGGCAGATGCTCCCAGACATAAAGAGGATCAGGGTCAGAGCCGATAGGGTGACAGCCACGGCCACCATCCAGGGAGTAGGGCTGGGTACAGAGGGTTCTGGAAAGTGAGCCAGAGCAGTGCTGTGTCAGACAGGATGCCAGGGCCAAGAGTTCGAACAGCTCCCGCAGAAAAAGGGATGGCATTGTGCTGGCCAACCCTGACTGCTAGGGCTGACCCAGGAGACAGACGTAGGCTGCCTTGGGGAATCTCAGTCAATGAGGTAGGTGGTCTATGGAATTTCCACGGCCACCACCCTGTACAGGTGGCATTCCAACCTTGCTGTGTGCAGTTTGTTCTCGACAAAGGAACAGGTTATGTTCATTCTGTTAAAACCTTCCAATGTGCTGGGCGTAGTGGTACATGCTGCAATCCCAACACTTGAGAGCAGAGGGAGAGAACGAGTTCAAGCCCAGTTAACTGTTGTCTTAGTTTGTTCTTCATTGCTGTGACAAAATACTCTGACCACTACCAACTTGGGGAGGAAAGGGTTTATTTATCTTACATCTCCTGGGTCACAGTTCATCAGGGAGCTCAAGGTAGGAACTCAGGGCAGGAACCTGGAAGTAGGAGCTGGAGCACAGGCCATGGAGGAATGCTGCTTACTAGCTTGCTCTCCTGGCCCCTGCTCAGCCTGCTTTCTTATGCAACATAGGCCCACCTGCCCAGGGGTGGCACCACCCACAGTGGGCTGGGCCTTCCCACATCACTCATCAAGAAGATGCCCCTCAGATATGGCCACAGGCCAGTCCAATAGAGGCAATTCCCCAATTGAGGCTCCCTCAACCCAGGTGTGTCAAGTTGACACTAAAGCTATCCAGCACAACTGTTAACAGTGATATCCAGTCTGGTCTCCTGCCTTAGCCTTCCAAGTGCTGGGATTGTAGGCATGCTCCAACACAACCAGCAGCACTGTTCCTAATGTTTAAAACTTGCTGCATAAAAGGGGACTTATTAGGCAACACAAAAAAGCAAAACCAAAACATCACATCTACCTATGACAGAGGCTACTCGTGTCCAGGACTCACTGATTTTCCCCCTATGATAAGGGGTGAGGCTCAAGTTCAGCTCCAGCCTCCAAGCTCTGCAGAGCCCAGGACCCTTCTACCCACTAATCCGTCTGTGAAGGATCCTGCCTTTTCACGACCTGTCTCCAGAGGGCATAGGACTAACCTGGAATGAAAATTACACTTTCTCTCTCCTGGCCAAGCAGAGTGTTGTTGACAGAGCAGGTCATGTTTCTCACAGAGCAGTCTCTGATGATCACGGTCATGGTGACTGTGAAGAGGCCTTCTGTATCAGCTGTGTATTCCTCCTCCACGGCAGGCACAACCTCACCGGAGGGGCCCCTCCACACAGCACAGGGCTCCGGGTACCACCCTACAGATGTGCACTCCAGCCAGATGCTCCCATCCCCAAGGGTCTTCATTTCAATCAGGGGTATAGAGCCCATGCCTGGGAAGGAAGCAAGGGCTCGGCTGAAAAGGAGTGGTTGGTTCAGAGATGCGGCTCAGTGCTCGCTTGGCATAAGCAGAGCCTTGGAGCTGATCCTCAGCACCACAAAACAGGCTATTTCAGTCACTGTGTCTTATGAGATCAGCTCTTCATGATGAAAGTCAAGCAAGGGAAGTGCAAGTGGGCAGAACCTGGGGACACCCAACACACAAGTGCCACACGTTCCTGCAGTGCTCCTTCTGTGAACGGGAAGAAAGCAGCACGGAGGAAGGACAGGAAGAGTAAAGGAGAGATGGGACGGAAGCAAGACCTGATGCTAGAGAAGACTGGGAACCAGTGCTCCGGGAACTGAACGCTGAGAGCAGCGGGCACCCTCTTTCTCTCTGGGCTGAGGGCTCTTCGCAGCCCACACCCCTGTACTGCCTGCTTGCAGCCTGTTTCCCTGACTTGGCCAGAAACTTCAGTTTTCCCACTTCTAAGTATATGCTCTGTTAAAATTGAAAAGACCAACTTATGATTTCACTTTCTGTTCCATGGAAAAATTTCTCAGTAGCCTTGGCATTGTTAAGTTTTAGAATAATACAATAAGAATTCAAATTTAGGCTGGGCATAATGGTGCATGCCTTTAATCCTATGCCAGCACTTGGGAGGCAGAGGCAGGTGAATCTCTGTGAGTTCAACGTCAGTCTGGTCTACATAGTGAGTT